TTTTTTTTTACTTTTCATGTAATACAAAATATTTGGACTAAAGCCAGCTAAAATTTTCTGTTATCTTGCATGTTTTATGAATCTATTCACGTCTAAATGCAGAACTTTTTTTTTTTCGATGAGGCATTTATTTTTATACTAAAAGATCTGAATTACTTTGAATAAAACTGGAAATTATGTCCCTTAAAATAATTAAACAAATAAGGCACCAATGTTTTTGTAAGATATTTACATCTTTTAAGGACATTCGGTAGACTGATTCACTGTTGGTTCAACCCCAAAACTTGTTTGTATTCAAAATTAATTATGACAATGCATATTTATATTGAAACAAACTGTGATAGAGGGAATTATATTACTGTAGAATACTTTATTTTCGCTTGGAATTTATTTTCGCTATTTTCGCTGAAGGGATGATTCAGTGAAAATAAAATCCAGCGAATATACTTTTTTTCCTATGTTTCACATTAAACTAATCAAAAATCAGTGAAAATAAATTCCATACAAAACGCCCTAAAAGCCTTTTCAGCGAAAATTAATTCCAGCGAAAATAAAGTATTCCACAGTATATAACAAAGGGCAAGGTCACCATAGTTCAACTATGTTTAATATTTGTTGTCTTTTTTAGTTAAAATTTATAGTTTTGTCTTCTTGTTAAAAAGTCTGATTGCTTTGATACTATACATATACCTCTCTCAGATTTATTCATTTCGTGATGATATATTCAATTTTCTAAAAGTGATATTTTCAAATTCCAATCTTCAGTTCTTAATTGAAATGTGTTTTGCTAAAAGCGGAGCTTTCTCAGTCGACAGGCTGCTTGTTTAATTTTCTGGTGACTTCAGTGTACAACTTGATGTTCATCTAGATCTAGATTCTAATGGATGTTAAGTGATTAAAAATTATTATTATTACACTTTTATGATATCAATATATATTTACATTATTACTAATGCATTGTAATACAACTAATTCAAATTGATAGAAATTACAATATAAAATATTCCACCAGTAATCCTTTTCAAAGGTGTATTTCGCAGTCAGTGTTATTTACGAAATATTTGTTTTTAGGTTCATAAACTTGCTTGGCAATACCCACGCCAATTAGATATGATGTGTACATATTTTAATAAATAAAAATGAAATATCTGCTGTCGACTTTGTCGAGCAGAGCTTATCATATGAGTGATTGTCCGACGTCGTTCGTGTCAATGTTTTAATTTTTGACTCCCATGTGCGAAGCACAAAATGGGAGTCTTTGCAGTTAGTGTGTCTGTATGTATGTGTGTGTGTGTGTGTGTGTGTGTGTGTGTGTGTGTGTGTGTGTGTGTGTGTTGGTGTAGACGTAAGAAGTGGAGCCTGTAGACCAGACATACACAAACAAAGTGAAGCCCTTTGTACAAGTGGAGCCCCAAATTGGTGGCTCCACAATGTTTCATAATTTATATTAATATTTAATCCAATTTAAGTCAGGTTTGCGAAGCTTA